GAGGTGGAGATGCTTCCCAACTTGGTAACTTTGGTTCATGGGGGAGCTAGCATTGTTAACACAGTTTTTAGGATTTGTTTCCTGCCCATTCTTAAATTATTACAAGGGGAAGCTTTATGGAGAACTCTAGTAACAAGAGCAAGTTAAGGTGTGTTTTAAGTTTGTTTTCTAACATATCGCACACCTTTGCATTGGTACAAACATGAAAACTACGTGAATTTCGGAAGAAACCAGTAAGAGAGCTGAGCAACCTGACTTTATTTTTCAAAAAGTTTAAATATCCAAATTAATTAGTTAGGAAATGGTTATAAGTACTGAGAAATATGCAAGGAATGTGGCTAAAAGGGATTCCTAATGAGGTTTATCATGCCCTTCAGACCACATAGGAAATGAAAGAATCTCAATTTTTTTTTCAGAATCAACATATTCCTTGTTTCTTGCAAATTACTCAAAGTTTAGATTTTACCAGAACAGAATCTTAGGAAGTATTTGGAAAGGTGGGGTCCATCCCACTCCCTGACTTCAGGGAAGAGCTCACTAGTGACTAGCTTACCTGCAGGATGGTTTAGCGAGAAGCCCTTAAGAGGTAAGGTCAAGAAAACAATCTAATAGTCTAGTCTTTCTGTTGTATCTAAAATAATTACCACACACTTCCCACTTAACTCTTTCCTAGGTTTGTCAAGGTTTATTTACTTTTGGTTTCCATCACAGAATTGTACATCCCCTCAGGGCTGGGGTTTAAGTTTTTGCAAATGATGAAGAGCTTACTTTCCAAATATTAAGATTCTTACTTGGTAGCAGGCTTCCATTGTCCCATGGAAATAATTATGAAAGTTGTTTAAGTCCCAGGTCTGGTTACCAAGACCAAAGAAAAATGAATGGACCACACTGTGCTGAGCTGTTACTAAAAAAATAAATGGGGGTGGGGTGGTGGCATCTGTAGTTCTCTCAACGATAAAGATTAGAAAACAAAACAACAACAGCAAAAAGCAGCAGCTTAAGTGAAAGGCCCTAAACTGTATTCTGAGTGGACGACAGCTGAGCCCAGGACAGTGCTCTGCAATACAACCAAAACCCACTGGCCTGCTCCCCTAGAAGACTGTCAGACCTGTACAGGGGACCCATGTCGTGATCCTGGTCGTGTGTGTAAGAGACCATGGGTGAAAACTGGCTTTTTCTGTGTTCCTAGGTGTTTGTCCTTCAGGCTCCCTTCCTCCTCCAGCAGGGCAGGGCCCAGCACGGCAGCGGTTTGGGTCCTGGCTGTGCACCAAGTTGAAAAGCAGCTGGCTAGCCAATTAGGCCCCACCCCAAACAACAGGGAATGGGAGCCCTGCAGCCCTTTTTTTTTAAAGTTCCCTTTGGTGATTCTAATGCTAAGCCATTGACTTAGCCATTAGGACATCTTCTAAGGTAAAAGAAAACAAAGACCATGGTTTACACACCTGTTCCGCAGGTTCTTAATGGTTCTTCATTTTGCTCACGTGGCTGTCAATGTACCCACTCGGAGCCCAGCTTCGCTGTCTCCCCAGGACTGCCCTGTGCCTCAGCCGGGTGCTGGGGCTCTAACTCAGTTGTGGGTGCAGCGAGCAGAGGATGCCCCTCAGGCCCAATCAAGAAGCTGCCAGCTCCCAGCTGGGGGAAAGGCCAGCTGGTTTTACTAAATCAGGAACTGGCAAGTGAATCAAGCCCGTGAGGCTGGGTCCTGGTTCTCAGACTGTGGTTCACTCGTGGGAGTTTGGTGAACTTGGTGAAAAGGCGTGCTCAGGGTCCTCCCCTGCCTGGGAAACCCTGGGCGCCCAGGAGCCCCCACCTGGGGCCCGAAGCAGGCGGGCAGGTGACCGGCCATTTTCTCAGGGAGCACAGGTTCACCCTAAGAGGCAGGGTGAGACTGAGGCCAGGGGGCTGGCATGACGGCCGCTCAGACCTCACGGGACAGAGGTCAGAGCTGGGGCAGGCTTTTACCTCACAGGGGGCCTTCTGGGCTCACCTCTGGATCACATCCCCCTTGTCAGTTTCATTCCTGCCATTTCTTACCCACTTCTAAAATCCCCAATGTGTCTCCTTTAATCCTGCCTTCATGAACATCTCCCTTCCTCCGCCCTCCCCCCTCGGAAACAGGGGCCTCAGGAAGGGGGAAGTGGGGTGTTAACCTTGTGAGGCTCCCGGAGACAAGCATTGGTGCGGCTCAGCATTTGGTGGTTAATTCGCCAGTTATGGTGGCCACAGCAGAGCACCGGCCTAGACTCATGGAGCCTGTTGGGAGGGACCACGAGGAGCTCGTTTATCAGCTGAGGTCTGAGGGCGGAGGCTCCCTGCACACCTGCCCCGTGAGCACGGGAAATGTCAGCGTCAGCGCGCAAGGGCCATAAACTGACACAGGTGTGAGCCTGGGGTGGGGCGTCTCCTTCCTTCCTGGAATAAGAGTCAGCAGGGAAGTGCCAGGAGCCCATCCTGAGGGGAGGGGGCAGTGGGCGGCCTGACCCTGGGGCAGGGGCAGTCCTGGGGCCCTGGGGTTGTGCCATGCAGATGAAGCATGAGGTTCAAGGAGGAGGTCCAGGCGGCTGGGCAGGTAGGAATAGTGGCTGTGGTGGGAGGGCGCTCCCTGAGGAGTCTGGCTTTATGCGTCCAGGCCCTGGGGACTCGCAGGAGGAGCATGGGTGTTTTCATGTCTTAGGGGGAGAACATCAAAGCTGACAGAAAACAGCTAAGAAAGTGAAAGTACAGGCAGCACAGTGACAAGTCCTACTGAGTTTTCTGTGGGGCTTGTGAGTTGTCTCCCAAGGGCAGGCAGGGGAGAGGGACCTCTACCTGATCGTAATTATTCTTTTAAGACCTTATTTTTGAGAGCAGTTTCACGTTCACAGCAAAATTGAGGGGAAGGTACAGAGTTTCCACATCCCCCCTTCTTCTACACACAGCTCCCCATCAACATCCCCACCAGATACATTTGTTACAGTTGATGAACCTGCACTGACACGTCATCGTCACCCAGAGTCCATAGTTGACATGAGGGCCACTCTTGTACATTCTGTGGCTTTGGACAGATGTCTAATGACACACACCCACCATTAAAGTGTCACCCAGAGCAGCTTCACTGCCCTAAAATTCCTCTGTTCTGCCTGTTTGTCCCTCCCCCCCCCAAAACCCCTGGGAACCACTGATCTTTTACCTTCTCCAGAATCTGTCATTTTAAAAATGTTTTTATTGATGTTTCTAGAGAGACAGGAAGGGAGAGAGAAACATCAATCAGCTGCCTCCTGCATGTCCCCTACTGGGGATCGAGCCTGCAGCCCAGGCATGTGCTCTGATTGGGTGTGGAACCGGCACCTCTCAGGCCATGGGATGACGCTCAATCCGCTGAGCCACACTGGCCAGGCGAGAATCTGTAATTTTTTTAACCAAAATTACTTGTATTAACAAACAAAAGAGAAAAAGCTGTTTTAATCATTCTGACTAGAGTGAGGATAATATTAGAGGAAGGCAGCAGGATTTGGGGGAAATGTTGGGAGACATTTATGGGCACCCCTCTCGAGGGCACTAGTAGTATCCAGCTTCAGCAACAGAGAAGAAAGTTGTGTTGTTCAGTGAGAGAGAGAGAGAGGAAAAAAGAAAACAGGAGGAGGAAAAAAATAACTTATTGCATCTTAAAATATTGAGCTTGAGGTTCTGGAAAGATGACTACCACTTAATTAGTAGGTTGTTCAAATTCTTGGTGTAATAAACTAGATTTGAACATGAAGTCATGAGACTACCAAATATAAATATGTCCACATGTACGTAAAGAGTAGATATTAAACATGGATTTAGCCTGGCCAGAGAGTGGCTCAACCACTGAGCCACACCAGCTGGGTGAATATTGTAGCTTTTCAAAACTGTCACCTTTCAGAGTCAACAGTTTTATTCTAGCATTTCAGAACTGGCTGAACATAATTTGGAAATTTTTAACCGTTTTCTGAGCGGGTTTGCCGTGCAAATATGTACACATTCAGTCTCCGTGTCTGAGTGTACTCCTGGGAACCACAGTGCCTTTTGTTTTAATCACCAAACGTATCACTTACCTGGTGGCTCACGTTCAACATCCTTAGTCCTGACTTTTGTTTCCGAAATTTAAATGTATGTAGGCAGTAGATGGAACCACTGGGCGTCTCGAAGCTGCTTGGCTGGAATAAGCTCTGCTCTTCCTTCCGGGGCACAGGACTGCGCCATCTCTGAAGGGAGTGGCCCGCGTTCCTTGTCACTTCTCTTGGGGCCTGCGCTCGTCAGCTGAGGCCAGGAGACAGGATTCGGCAGACGCGATCCAGACTGCTCGCTGAGCTCTGGACAGTGGTTCCCCGCCCGAGGGCTGCTCAGAACCCCTGGGCTTCACCCGAAGCCAGTGGGCGAGCAGCTCAGATCGCCTGCATCTCACAGAGTTGCTTTACTTTCCCTGATGTCCTCCGAGGAACTACGGGGACTGTCCTAGATTTATCTTGATCAGCTTTTATTTGCAGGATATTGGTTTAATTTTTCGTTCCATAAAATTTCACGACTGATTTTGTGTTGAAGACCATGGATGAAATTTTTTTACGCTGGTAGCTGGTGATGAAATTGTCTGTTTTTTACCTTCTCCTCCTCAAATCACAGACAGATGGTCCTTTTCAGGACTATTTTCTTTGAACTTGGCTAACCATAACTATACACCTATCATTTGTGTTGTTTTGTAACTGCAAGGAGTCGCATGCAAATGCATAGGGAATCGAAGCAGCTTGTGTCCAAGCCTGTGAGCAGAACTATTCCAAATTAAACATGCGCCAGGCACTTCTCCAAGGAGTTCACCTGTGGATGAGCCCGCAAATGCCAGGCTCTCTGCTTTGCATTTTCTCTCAATCCTGATGCTCATCCTGGATGCAATGTGTCAAGCCCATCTTTCATCTGAGCCTTCTTAGAGGTCAGGGTTTCCCTGTGGTCATCGCCAGTTGCATGCCTGGTTCGTCTTATAATTGCTGTCCTGTCCTTTCCAGGTATGAATGCTGCTGTCCGTGCCGTCGTGCGGATGGGGATCTACGTGGGGGCCAAGGTGTACTTCATCCGTGAGGTCAGTGTTGTTTGGCAGCCCTGCTTTCTCTGACCCTCAGGTAGCCCCACCTCACATTCACCTGGAGCTCTCATGCCCGCCAGGGCCACACCCTGCTGACCACAGCCCAGGGTCAGCACAGTGGCAGCTGCTCAGGGGGGCCAGCAGGGGAGCCCAGGTCACACAGAGCTTACATGGGAGGATGTGCCCCCTGGTCCAGAGGCACCTCTGTGAGATTTGTGTTCAGGAGCCAAAGCTGGGAGGAGATGAGACAGGCACACGGTGCCATTTTGATGTCCATTGCAGGATTAATGATCTCAAACCGGTTGTATTTATGTGGAGCTCTCATTCCTTATAGAAGTGACATATTCACTTAACATTTAGGGGTTTAATTGGAATAAACATTAAGATAAATGGAGAAAAATGACCACTTTGAGCTTTTCATCATTAATGAAAAATCTAGACCACTTCCTTAGTATCTGTTTATTCATTTATTTCAAAATGAGGAGTCTGAAATCCAACAGCAGTCTCAGCCCATTATCTCCTGCATCTGAGGCAGTACCGCAGTGAGTAGTGTTTGGACCACGTGACTTATTTCAAAACTACTAGAAAAAATACAGTTTAGATTTAGATTGTGAAACATAATAAAGCTTATAAAAGGAAAGAAGAAAATGTATTTTTAAATGACTCCTTCAAGATCACTGTCGGTATGTTATGCTGATTCTTTGAAGTATTATGTATGTGAACGACTGGAAGGAAACACATACATTACTAACATTACAGCAAATGTGTTTTGCATAGTACATTTTCTACCTGCCATTACATTTGATGTTTTCTCTGTGCCACATACATCCCACAACTATTGCTTTAAATGTCTGGATAATGTCTGTCACACTGATATCTCAACGTTTATCAGAACTTTTATTTCCTGGGTCATTCCATTGCCACACACTGGGCTATTTAGGTCACTGCCCATTTCTCAACTGTCATAACTCAGCAAGGTCCATGTTACTATGTGAGGCTCTTCTGTGCTTTGTATGATTATTGTGACCCCAAGGCACTGACTGAGTTAGAAGACATGGCCCTGATAATGGGTCTCATTGTGACTCCCTAGTGACTTCTGAAACATGTTCCAGCCCCACCCCACCCCTCAACGCACCCAAAAGTGGTATCAAACTCCTCAGTTCCGTGAGGGCCTCATCGCTCTCGCCCTAGCTGTTTACTAAAGTCATTTTCTCCTTTTTGGGATGTGGCCGCTCATGGTCTTTGCTCGTTGGTCTGAGTAACCATTTGTTTATTGTTTGCTGCAAAGATGTTTTCTCTCGTGTTTTGGTTTGCTTTTCCACATTGTGGTTCTGTGGGGTTGGGGTTGTAGCCATCTGACTTGGGCCACGTTAAAACGACGAGCCCAGCCAAAGCAGCTCCAGACTGTTCTGTTATTTTCCATTTGGATGTACTGAGGGTCAAATTACCCTTGTGGATGTCCGTCCCGGGCCTGGCTGGGCAGCCGCTGTCCCCTGTTCACCGATGTGGAATGAGCACGTTAGACGCAGGCCGGGCTCACCCCTCTCACGTCCTTCCTCCCTCCGATGTCTGAGTTTGCGCCCAGATGACTGCTCGCTGCTGCTGAGGAGGGTGCGTGCATGAGCACAGCTTCCTCTGCATTTCCACTTTGGGGAGGAGAGGGCATTGTGTTCTGCCTTTGAACTTGAGAAGACACCACACCTGGCCGGACGGCAGCTCCTAACACGTGAATGTGGTTTTAAAAACCTCGAGGGGGTTGGAGCACCTTCACGTCAGGTTCTTTTATAACTAAGAAAATGTTCTCAGCTTTGCTGAAGACGAATTGACTCAGACCTGTGTCTGGCATGTTCCACCAGAAATCCACCAGAAATGCTGGCTCCTTCAGCTTTTGTGACCCTCCCAGGTGATGCTGCAGGTGAACTGAGCTGAAGATCCCTCACTAACGAGAGGCACTTGGTCTGCGCGATGGCTTTGCGGTGTGTGGAGGGAAGGGAAGGAAGTCATTTCAGTTATTTCTTGGCTAAAGGAACTGACTCGTCCTCATGGACAGTTCACTTTCTCCGTGTCACTGTTCATCACGAGCAAGGCTGGGAAGAGCATGAATCCCACATCAACCTCCCAAACACATTAATGTCTGGAGACATTTTGGTTGTCCCATTATGGGGGGGTGGGGCGGGGCTACTAGCATCTAGTGGTGGAGGCCAGGGATACTGCTCAACATCCCCCAATGCACTGGACAGCCCCCCGACAAGGAATGATCTTGCCTAAATGTCAGTAATGCTGAGGTCCATAAACCCACACTAAACCAAGGGCCAAATCTGAACTTGGTGTGAATGCCGGCAATCTGAGGGTGGGGGGGCTGGTGGCTGTGTGCCTGTGGAATGTTTGGGTACTGAAACTGACAAAGTCACTGACTAACTTTAAGTCCTCCTCCTCAGATTTAAGAGTTGTGTTGTGTGATTTATTTTTTATTGAAACATTTTTTTTGATTACAGTTGACAAAAATATTATGTTAGTTTTAGGTGTACAACATGGTGGTTAGACATTTATATAATTTAAAAGTGATCACTCTGATAAATCTATTATAAACTGACATGGTAAGAGTTATTATAATATTATTGACTATATTTCCTGTGCTGTCCTTGACCTCTCTATGACTGTTTTTATAACTGACGATTTGTAATTCTTAATCCCTTCATTTTTTTCACTCATCCCCCAGCCTGCCTCCTTTCTGCAGCCATCAAAATGTTCTCTGTATCTATGGGTTTGTTTTTGTTTTGTTTGTTTATTTTTTTTAGATTCCACATATAAGTCAAATGATATGATATGTGTTTTTGTCTTTGACTTACTTCACTTAGCATAATACCCTCTAGGTCCATCCATGTTCTCACAAATGACAAGATTTCATTCATTTTTATGGCTGAGTAATATTTCATTGTATATATGTATCTCATCTTTATTTTTTATTGAATTTTGGGGATGATATTGGTTAATAAAACTATATAGGCTTCAGGTGAATTCTGTACTACATCATCAGTATATTGTGTGTTTACCACTACAACTCAAGTCTCCTTCCATCATCACTTATCCCCCCTGTACCACATCTTTCTTATCCATTTCTCTATCAGGGGACACTTAGGTTGCTTATATATCTTGGCTATTGTAAATAATGCTGCAATGAACATGGGGGTGCATATGTCTTTTCAGGTTAGTGTTTTGGGTTTCTTGGATAAACACCCAGAACTGAAATTGAGGGATCGTATGGTAGTCATATGTATTTTTTGCGGACCCTCCATACGATTTACTATAGTGCCTGCACCAATTTACATTCCTCATCAACGCTTGTTGATTTATTGGTGATAGCCATTCTGACAGGTGTTAGGTGGTATGGCACTGTAGTTTTAATTTGCATTTTTCTGATGATTAATGACATCGAGCATCTTTTTTTTTTTATCCTCATCTGAGGACATTTTTTTATTTTTTTTGTTCAGATAGAGTGGGAGGGAGAGAGAGGAAGAAAGAGAAAGAGAGAGAGAAAGAGAGAGAGAGAGAGAAACATCGACGTGAAAGGGACATTGAGTGGCTGCCACCTGCACAACCCAACCAGGGCCCGGGACAAACTGCAACCGAGGTTCGTACCCTTAGCGGGAATTGAACCTGGGTCCTTCTGGACCGCAGGCTGACGCTCTAACCACTGAGCCAAACTGGCCAGGGCGACATTGAGCATCTTTTCATGTCTGTTGGCCATCTGTATGCCATCTGTGGAGAAGTGTCTGTTCAAGTTTTTTGCCCACTTTTTAATTATATTGTTTGTGTTTTGGGTGTTATATTGTATGAATTTCTTATATATTTGGATATCAGCCCCTTATCAGATGTATCATTGGTGAATATCTTCTTCCATTTAGTAGGTTGTCTTTTTGTTTTGTTGATGATTTCTTTTACTGTGCAAAAACTTTGTAATCCCATTTGTTTTTTCTTTTGTTTCCTTTGCCTGGGAAGACATATCTAAAAGAATATTGCTAAGAGCAATGTCAAAAAGTTTACTGCCTTTGTTTTTGTCTAGGACATTTTCATCTAGGAGTTCTTTGGTTTTAGGTCTTACATTTAAGTCTTATTTTTTAAACAACCTCATTTTTATATTTATTTATTTATTCTTTAATCCTCACCTGAGGATATGTTTTCATTTATCTTTAGATATAGTGGGAGGGAGGGAGATAGAGACAGAGACAGACATTGATGTGAGAGAGTCACATCGATTGGTTGCCTCCTGCACAACCCCGACCAGAGCCAGGGACTGAACCGCAACCAAAAAACGTCCCCTTGACCAGAATTGAACCTGAGACTCTTTGGTCTGTGGACCAGAGTTCTAACTGCTGAGCCAAATCAGCCATGGCTACATTTAAGTCTTTAATATATTTTGAGTTTATAACAATAAACTGACTGTGAGGGTTACCCATGACCATATGGTGCAAGAAAGTGTTCTGTTTCATTTTTTTTAAATGTATCTGTCCAGTTTTTCCAACATCATTTATTGAAGAATCTATCTTTGACCTCATTGCATAGTTCTGTCTTCTTTGTCACAGATTAATTGACCATATAAGTGTGGGTTTATTTCTAGGCTCTCTATTCTGCTTTTTTGATCTATATATCTGTTTTTATGCCAATACCATGCTGTTTCAATAACTATTGCCTTGTATAGTTTGGTATCTGGTAGCGTGATATGTCCAACTTTGTTCTTTCTCAAGATTGCTTTGGTTATTCAGGGTCTTTTGTGGTTCCATATAATGTTAGAATTATTTGTTCTAGTTCTGTGAATAATATCATTGGTGTTTTGATAGGGATTGCAATGAATATGTGGATAGTATGGCTATTTTAACAATCTTAATTCTTCCTATTCATGAGTATGGTATATGCTTCCATTTATTTGTATCTTCAGTGTCATATAATTTCATACTTGATCTTGTCCCAGAGGTCCTTTAAACTTGCCTCATTAAAAA